TTGCATTTTTAAGAATTTCAGCTTTAAAACATAGCTGGAAGGATTGTATACACAATAAATCATACTGCTGTTTGTTGGAGCCTAAGCTCATTATTTTGGCATCTTGCCCAAGCTCCCTCGGCTCGGGCATGTTCGATTTCAGCAGTGGAGTGCAGTATTATTGTTCTTGACAGCATGACACAGTTAGCTCAACTATGATTCTAACTTAACCTAGTAACTTGTGTGCTCACAGGAACAGCTGAAATGGCTCTTGTATCACAATGAAGTCACTACATCAGTCCTGTGTGAAAATGATGAGCAGGATGTGGGCACTGGGGTATTTTGGTGAGGCGTTTGCAGATAGCTGTGACCTGGTTAGTATAGGAAGTACTGTTACTGTATACATAAGATGCATTAAGATCTGTGCATACTCAATTTTGATACATTTTTATAAGTAAGCCCGATTGTGGGATAACTTTGTGCAAGGATAATAACCTTTTTTTTTTTTTAGGTGAGTGTTGGTAGTGGAGAAAGACAGGATATCACTGTGCTGCTTGGTGGTCATGTACTGACATGACGGGGCATTCCTCAAGCAGATCGTAGCACTGAATTATATCACTGCTGTCATGGCTTGTGCTCATAGTGTGTTGATCTTAACACCCTTCCTAGTGTGTTTACTGACTCACATTACAAGCCAGCAAGCAAGGTATCGTTAACAAAAATAAATAGTAAAGCACAAACATAAAGATAGAGAAAATGTTAACTTGTTTTTTGTTTTTTTTACAAAGCTATGTATTAAAGTGTGAAGTAAAAAAAAAGAAAAACTTAACACTTAAATTCATCCGGTGAAGTTATAGGCTGTTGGGGATGTCTGTTTTACAAGCATGGCAAACTAAAACAACAATGCTCTCTAAATAATACAGACAACCTCAAGGCACTGCACTAGTGCTTCATTAGTACAGCAACAAAAGACAAATTGTCATTAAACACAACAGTAAACACACCAAAACAATGCAAACATGGAGAATCTTAAGAAGGCCGGTCTACAGATGTGTTTTTAGAAGCTTTTTGTCACGTAACAGAGGAGTACCAAGTTCGTAAGACATGTTTTACGTTTGATGACCTGTGGACAACATCCAAAAGCAGCAGCTATGCCTGACATGTTGAGACTTTGTTTGAGCTGAAGACTGATAATACATTCTGGATGAAAATCTAATACTGAAAATGAACACTGGAGTAAAATGCATGTGAGAAAAGAGACTAAAATGTATTTAACCTACCTGTTCAATTCAACAACACAACAAAATGAACATCATGAATCCTGTCTTAAAAGAAACTATGCAAACAAATATCCTTTTTTTAGTTTTCAGAAATGTCTCTGCAGATTCTTCTGCTGTGAATTGTTCAACATGTACAGAAGGCTGCTAGTCTCCATTGTGTCAACTGTACCTTGGTAATTATTAACTTGTGAAGAAGCATTCAGGATAGAGATGTCTAGATTCTTGTCTCATCGCTGCTTTGACACAGGCCAAAGTTTATAAATGTGAAAAAAGTTTGATTAACCCAAATGAATGAAGTTTGATATCAAATCTGAGACATTTGACACCACTGCTTTCTCGTCTGTTATGTTGCCTCTGTTCTAATATTTTACATTTTATTTAAAGTTAAATTACAAATGTTATACTTGGTAACACTTATTTAGACTGTTTGTGGTGGAAAGCTCTTTTTGTTTTATAGCAAACGACATCTGTTACTGTTTTGATTCGTTAGCCTGTAACTGTTAGCAGCGCAGAATAGGCTAGCTGATTAAAACACCACAGAAGCAGCCTGTCTGTCAGCACAGCCTCAGGAAGTTCACCACTTTATATGAACATTGTTTAGCTTAGCTTCACTTATGAATGAGGGATGTAATCAAAAACACAGAATTCCTAATTTACACATTTGCTTGTACACTGTAGTGTTTCCTCTACATGTGCTGGGTGCTGCTGGTTGTTTTAAGGTAAAATGCCTGTTTTCTTATTGAATAATCTTTGAAATTGTTTTTTCTCTGCTCCCACAAGCTCCCACAGTTCATGTCCCACTGTCCCACTTCACTTTATGTTCAGTTGCAGTCTGCAGTGTTAGGTCAGTGCACCTGCCTTCTTGGTCTCTAAGCACATTTGCTTCTTGTTGGTACAACAGGGCTGGAAAAGGTTTAATGAGGATAGGAGGATGTGATAATGATGTGTCTCAGATCGTCACATCTCTGGTTTCATTACTTTACATAGCTTTGATGATCACTATAATGCATTATGACAACAGCTCAAAAATTATGGAGCTCTTCTTAATTTAGTGTAACACTAAAACATGAAATGCTCTATTTTTGGCAACAACAATGAGAAAGGAAGATGAATTCTCCAGAATATCTGACTGCTCGTCCAGATTGTGATTGTGTTCATCGGATGTTTGCAGCAGTTTGTAGGATTATTTAGCCCAGTGTTGATTGTATTAAATCACAGTGGTTGGCAAAGCGTGATAGAGGAGGATGTTTTGGATTCATCAACATATGTGTCCTGATGTCTTCAAGTGGCTGCAGGAATTTAATGAACTGAAAGAAAAACGTAACGCAGGCTTGGAAAAGATACTGTAAGAATCACCTGTTATAATGTATGGTTTAATGCTCACTGTTTTACAAGCAACTTTTCTTAAACAACAACAAATGTTGGTTTTTTAAACTCATATTTAACCCAGCATTAAAACACAACTTCTAGCTGTTGTAGTTTTTATTTTAGCCCAATCCCCATACACTTCACTTTGATTTGTTCCCCGCTGCATATTCAAGAAGTATAGTTGAATTAATCACCAAACAGGGAGCTGAGTGACACTTTGCATGCTGTAAACTAGGTTTTAGCCAGGTAATTTCACCAGTAAGTTACGCTGTGCTGGTTGTTCTGAGACCACAAAATAGGGACTTAAGGGCACAGGAGTATGGATTTCTAATCCATACTCTAATTTGCTATCCTGAGATTTTAACCTAAAGGCTGCAGTTTACTTGTAAGATATACCACACATGTTGTTATTTATGTTAACTGTTTCACAGAACAGGCAAAACATAGAGGCCTGTACTACAAAGTGAGTCAGACACTCAGGATGCCCTTTTCATTAGTTTGGCTTCACAATCCCTAACCAAGGCCATTGTGCTAAAAGGTAATACAAAGCATGAGAGTGGATATCAACGTGTTAAACCAGGGTTTCCTGGTCTGGCCATGGGCATGTTAACATATAAAGGGCCAGGCTGGCAGCATATGACCTATCCCAACCAGGGACAAGTTTACCAAGGACAGCAGCATATTTTACAAACAGAGAGCGACTGTATTAGATTAATATGACATCCTACTCTGTAAAGTTTTTCATGTTGTATTGTGTATAGATTTGGCTGTAAGATATTATTGTAGACATTATGCTTCATTTGTGCCCTTGTGCATGATTAGTGGCAGGAGTTTGTCTCTTAGTTGTTACTTAGTTAAAATGTTCTTTTTATGCCTCTTTCGATAGTCGGAACTCTGAGAGAGAGGGGTAACAAAATGTGGGATGGGATCCATAGTTCGGGATTTGAACCCATGCTGCCCGCTTTCAAGGACTACACATTGGGCACACTAACTAACTAACCTCCATGTCGCCAGGCGCCCACTTATTGGTTCTTTTTATGTCATGCAGGATTACATGTGTGTTGTGCAGACCTGTTGGGGTATAAGCAGCTTGAATCATTTGATGCCATATTAACTAGAGCTGTAGTTGGAGTAGATTTGGGGTCTCTCTGCTTTCTTACGCTCTGCTTTTACAGTCTTCCATCTTCTCATCTTCACTCTTCTTTTCCCCTTCAGTGTTACTTCCTCCCTTGGGGGCTGCTTGGCCCGACTCTCCAACTCTTCTCAATCGCCCTCTTCAATTCTCTTATCACTCAAACCCCCTGAAGCGCCCTTATGGACACTAAACTCCTCCTCTCCTCTTCAGGAAGCCTTCTCCAGCCTACTTTTATGAAAGCAGACTTGGTCACGTTTTCTTTATAATCGCAGATCTTGACTGAACCAGACCAGATGGGAGTCCTTTAGGTCTCAAGAGAAACGAGCTGCTGCAGCTCCCCATTCATCTTCTCACCACTGGATGTTTTTTCTAGTCCCTGCCCTCCACCAGTGGCCTAAATTTTGAAAAGCGTGTTAATTTTTTACCCCAGCTGGCAAGAACTGTTAAAGTTCAGCCTCATCTGCTGAAACTTTAACCAGTGTTGTTCCTCTGGCTTCTGTTTAATTCAGAAAGCTTCAAAGCCTTAATGGTGGGCTGGGAACTCAAAAAAGCTTTTAGGCTCCCTCCTCTCTTCATTTGTTTATAAAACACAGTTTGCTCATTCTGTCTGGGTCATATGAAAGTAGCTGATACAATGTTTTGGAGCTTCCTATCTAATAGGAATTGTATCGAATGATTGCTTATTTATGTACTTATTTTGCATTCATTTCCAGAACTGATCGGAGAAGTTTAAATTTATTAGGTAGAGCAAATGACATGAGGTAACCTGGGGAAGACGATAACGTCTCTATTGCAATATATGTTGTGATGTAGTTCTGTATGATTATAGTTTGTAATTGCAATCATGCCTTATTTTTAATTACGTTATTTTCTTAAACTGGACTGTGAAGAGCTCAAAGAATTTGACACTGTCCTTTATCATACCAAAGATGTTTTATAAGAGGATGCACTGTGTATTTGAAGTATGCGCCTCTAGCATGTGTTTGTAGTCTGCTGGCTTCAGTTTACAACAAATATCATATTTTAGGAGCTATGTTTACCTCAGGAAGTTGTTGGTTGTGTCCCTTAAATCTTGAATTAGGTCAAAGTTTACTTTTTTAAATAAAAACAACAGATTTTTTTTTTTACAGTCATAATATTAAATGTTGTTATTGCATGATGTGATGTTTCTTGTGTACACATATGTTGTCCTAACTAACCCTCCATCTTGTCTTTTCCTCCCTCTCTCTTTGCCTCAGGTGGTACCATGGCAAGCTAGACCGAACCATTGCTGAGGAGCGGCTCCGCCAGGCCCGGACCCCTGGCAGCTACCTCATCAGGGAGAGTGACCGCCGGCCCGGTTCCTTTGTCCTGTCTTTCCTCAGTTTGACCAACGTGGTCAACCATTTCAGGTATGATAGAGAAGAAAAAACTTGATCTCAGTGGTAGGTGTGAATGACTACTTAAAGCCAAGTTCAGGCTGTTGCAAGCTAGTTACAATGTTTAAAGTAGCTATTTTTAGATATTTGTCCTCTCAATGTGGGACAATGCTTATGACATTTTAGTTCATTCAACAATTTCCCATTTGTTCCTAATGTAATTCACAGGAAATTTGGAGCAAATAAGAGGTCCCAGTTGTCTACCATACCTATTATATTTTAGTGTGGCGTGAACTGATGCCCATTTATTCTCAGTAGAGTGATGTTAGTGGGTGAAATAGAAAGTGATATGCTATGTCATAATGATTAGTTAATCAGCATTCATACAAATAGAAGATAAGGGTAGTAGGGGGATTACAGAAGTTATTCATTACCTGCCATATAAACCCTAGGAGAAGAAGAAAGCTACAGACACTGCAGTGAGAGATCAACCTCAGAGATGAGCCGATACTAAAGTGGGAACGTGTGCATCTGATTAGTGGTTTCCACTGACCTGCACAGCCACAACTCTGGCCTTTTTATGCTATAAACAGAATATCAAAGTGTGACAACTTAATTCTTCAGTAAGCATTTTAACTTGACCACTTTGTGTCGGCTGAAACCCATGACCCTGTTTATCTGCATGTGAGTTTGTTTGTGTGTAACGCAGAAGGCTTTTCATTCATCGAATGTGTGTGTGTGTGTGTGTGTGTGTGTGGATCCAAAATCAAGCAGTGAAACGGGACACTTGTTTAGCAACATTACCACGAGATCTTTAAACCTTGCAGTCAATATAACATCACAAATTAGTCATTACAATCTTTAATCCCCTTCAATTGGTTTGTTATATTCTGTATGTGGATATCAACCAATCGGTGTGGGCTGTTTTCCTGCCATATTCCTCAAAACAAAAATAAAGATTTGCTGCATGATTTAGCTGAGATAGATTTTTTTGCATCTTAAGTAAATTGTCTGTGCTCTGGGAAATCGCAGACTTCTTCTAAAGGAACAATGACATCATCTCCTTCATTCACATTGGTTAAGTGTGCATCCATGATGTCATTGATACTGGAAGGAAGGAGCCCTGCTGTAAAGGAATTATGAACACAAGGTTAATTGTGTGTCACCTGCACTTGAAAAGGTTGATGTCCTTAGATTGTGCTGCAGCAAATGAGTAATAGTGCAGAAGGCTTTATTATAAAGCCTCCCTCAGAGATCCACTCAACTGATGGGCAGAGAATAAGGATTAGTGGCTCTGCAATGGAATATGGTTTAAAGCATTAATTTGATCATGCAACTGTTCCAAAGATCTTCAGAGTCACAAATAACAAAAAACTTAGTTAAGTATATTCAGCAGGACAACTTTTAACTCTGTCTTGCATCTTCTTTGCATCAATATTACTTTTTTTTTCCTGTTTAAGGATTTTGGAAAAAATCACAAGATGCTGTTTTATGACTAAAAGTGCTAAGTTTAAATAACTTGGATGTTTAAATAACTGCTGTCTTCTTGTTGTGTTCCTCCAGGATAATCGCCATGTGCGGGGACTATTACATCGGTGGCAGGCGGTTTTCTTCTCTATCAGATCTGATTGGTTACTACAGCTACGTGTCATGTCTGCTAAAAGGAGAGAAACTGCTATCACCAGTGGCGCCCCCAGAGGTGAGAACAACACAATAGCTGCTAAATGTGTTTATATCTAAATTCAGCAGCATTTTCATAGTATCCTTAACATGATGAAATATTTGAGTCTTTGGTGAGTCACTTGGTTAAAATAAAAGTGTTTTTCATGTCTTTCTTCTTCTGTTTTTTCCCTTTTTTGCCCCTGGCATTATTCAGAGCTGTTTAAGGCAAAGCTCAAGCTAGTGCTAATTACCTTTTCTTTTTCTTTAGCCCTGTGTGATACCTCCCAGAGGGAGTTGTAGTAGAATTCTTAATTTTATGGAATAATTGGGGGATTTAACGTGGCTATGGGTTTGGAAGGTCAGAATGAGACTTTCATTCTTTGTGTTCATGTTTCTGCAGCCTGTAGAAGACAGGAGGAGAGTCAGGGCCATACTTCCATACACCAAAGTGCCAGATACTGATGAGATCAGGTACAGTATAATGTATATCTGTACATAAAAACATGTCTCTTCTCCTGTTTCCTGTTTCTCTTTAACTTTTCTTACCATGTCAAAGGTATGCCCTTCCCCAGTTTGGAAAGCACATCCTCTGACGAGTTGATGAAAAAAAAAAAAACGGCCTTATCCCTGTCTTTAAGAAGCAGAAAGCATTCTTATAATGATCCCAACTATCCCTGTTGTACTGAATCAAATAAACATCTGTGTGAAGTCAAACTCACCTTGATGCTGACAGAGTCTGACAGGTTTAAACAAAGTAGATAAACATGCAACATTCACTTCAGATGTTACGAGTCACAAGAGACACCTGCTGGATATGTTTTGGTATTACACCCGTACAAAATAAGACTCCTCAGAGTTTCATCATGTTTAATTTTAGCTAACGAGCCACTGATCGCACATCTTCAGAATTAAAATTCCATGTAAATGTGTGATTAAGAAAGATGGTTTTAAATCAGAATGACCTCTTCATAACAGAGGTTGCAGAGAGTTTAACACATCTTTGATTGCTGTGTTCTCAGCTTCCTGAAAGGGGACATGTTTATTGTTCACAATGAACTGGATGATGGCTGGATGTGGGTGACTAACGTTCGCACAGAGGAACAGGGCCTCATTGTAGAGGATCTGGTCGAGGAGGTGGTAAGTGATGCAAAATAAAGTACATGTTGTCATTATTTGATATCATTTGGCTTGATATCCCCAAAGACAAAATGAATTGTGGATGTAACTCAGTGAAGTCTCCCAAGCAATGAGTGGAGACTACAGTATAACCAAAAGTGCCATCGTTCATGTCAATATAAAGCCTTGCCACACATGCTGTAGTCTGTGGCCCAGCAGAGATGTTGTCCTGACACATTTCTGTTGCTGATATTTTTCAGGGACGGGAGGAGGATCCACACGAGGGAAAAGTGTAAGTTGTCTTGCTCTGAACTGTCTTACTTTGCACTGGAAGATAAACAACATTTGAATGCAGTTGGCGTAAGACAAAGCTCCCATGCAAACTTTTCTCATTAGAGCAGATTCTCTGTGGTGCAGCGTCTTATTACTCCACCTGATTATGTGGAAGCGGTTGTTTTTCTCTTCTACTTTTAGCCAATATATTATCTCAGGATAATTTCCAACATATTCCTTCAGCCTCTCTGTTCTCTTATAATGTAATTTGCTTTGCCCTTAAGTTATAAATGATGTTTCTATATTTATTTTTTTTAGCAGAGAGATAAAACAACTTTATTGTATTGTTAAAGTTGCTATTGTCTACTCACCTATCATGGCATTCAGCTTTGGCAAGACTTTAAGTTTGACTGTAAGTGACTACAATGGAAAAGAAACAAGGAAAAATTAAATTGGCCAGATTGCCACGGGCCGTATTAACAGATAGAATACATTTATTGTTTTACATAAGGCAGTGGTTCTCAACTGATGGGTCGCAAACATGTGACTGAGGAAAAAAAAAAGGTGTCAAAAAAATCTATGAAGCGCTCTTAAAACATGTCGATTTTGTTCCTTCTCTTTGTTCCATCACATTTCGTACCATCAGAGGTCAAAACAGTCAAACTATTTTCATTCAATAAATCTGATAATAAAATATCTGAAAATTTGGGTCACGATTTTCATGAAGTTATTGGTGGTGGGCCTTTTAAGCTGGACCGGTTGAGAACCGTTGATATAAGGCATATACAAGCCCTTCTTTTCATTTTTTGCACTATAAATAAAAGATTATTTAAGAAAGATTGAATATATGGTGGTATAGCATTATTTTCCTCTGTTGATGAGCTAATCTTTTTCTTCTGTTGCTGTTGTTCAATCTCTCGAGCAGCTGGTATCACGGAAAGATCACCAAACAAGAGGCCTATAACCTGCTGATGACAGGTACCATTCCTCTTTCCCTTTCTTTCAGCCAAAGTTATTTATCATTTGTGACGTTATGCTAGAAATAACTTGTTAACATCAAAGTCCATTTATCAAAAGGTACTGCTGAGCCTGCACCAAAACCTTCCTCTCCCACTCCCCCCTCTCGCCTCACAGTCGGCCAGGTGTGCAGTTTTCTAGTGCGACCATCAGACAACACACCTGGGGACTACTCCCTCTTTTTTCGTACCAATGAAAACATCCAAAGGTTTAAGATCTCCCCTACACCCAACAATCAGTACATGATGGGGGGGAGGTACTACAATAGGTAAGCCTCACACTTTGTCTGCCTACAGCTTTTTTTTACATCAGAATATAAAAAATATGATGTGCTAATAAAGCCTGTTTAAAGTTATTAGCTTGAAAAATAAGTTTAATGAATTGCCTGTTTTTCTCTCCTCTCTCTGGCAGCGTTGATGACATCATCGACCATTACAAGAAAGAACAGATTGTCGAGGGCTACAACTTGAAAGATCCAGTTTCAGTGCAGGTATGAACAAATGTCTACTAGTGTTATTGAACTTGTCTGAGGTGTTGTTTCTGACCTATCAGGATGGCTTCTGACCATTTTGATTTGATTAGACCGTTTGGATAAAGAGGAAAAAAGCGAAGAAGGTGTTGAAGTGTTAGCTGGATCTTTGAATTGCCTTCATGTTCATTGTTGTTGTGTTTGTTTTTTTGCTGCAGCACCAGGAACAAGTTCTTGCTGACACAGTGGATGGGAGAGAAATTTATAACACTATCAGACGGAAAACAAAAGACGCTTTCTACAAAAACATTGTCAAGAAAGGCTACCTCATGTTCAACAAAGGTGTGTGTAACATTGTCTACTCTCTCAGTTGTGAATAATATAATGCAGTCTGTATTTATAAATATAACAAACTATCCTTTTCTTCTTTGACCTTTAGGCAAAGGCAAAAGATGGAAGAACCTTTATTTCATCCTGGAGGGAAACGATGCTCAGCTCATCTACTTTGAGAGCGAGAAGAGAGCCACCAAACCCAAAGGGCTGATAGACCTTAGCGTGTGCTCTGTGTACGGTGTGCATGACAGTCTGTTTGGCAGGTGAGAAATGAAATGATTCTCCTTAGTATGAAGTAAAATAAGGTGCAAAAGTCTATGAATAGCTTGCCCAGTCATGAAATTAATGTGATTTGTTTTAAGTGATGTATCAAACAGTTTCAAATCATTTTAATTTCTGCTTCTTTTTTTATTCAGGCCAAACTGTTTCCAGATTGTTGTCCAGCATTTTAGCGAGGAACAGTACATATTTTACTTTGCCGGGGAGGCTCCAGAGCAGGCACAGGTGAGCTCAGAATGTGTGGTAACTGTGTGTTCTTTCTCTAAAATGCCGCATGTCTTGCCATGCTGTGAAATGTTGCTGTTATTTATTAAAAAAATACATTTCCAGCCTGCACGGGCAGGACTGCGCAGCAGTCTGGTACAAGTCAATCAAGGCCTCAATATGTGCTGGAGGGGTTGATTTCCATTTTGTTCATATAACAAATAAGTTTAAATAGTTTACAAGTTGTAATTTTTTCAACAAATCTACGCCCTAGAAATATTCTGACTGTGTTTTGTTTTTGCAGGATTGGATGAAATGCCTTCAAACCTTCTGCAGTAACTTAAGAAAAACCACTCAGCCAACCACCAACAAGAGACTCAGACAGGTACATACACAATCAGATGATATGTACGTTTCCTTATCACTCAAGTTTAAGACCAACCCATAACAACTTTTTGTAAAATCCAAATTTGAATTTCAAGGGAGGAAAATAAAGATACATTTGGCAGGGTTGCAAGATAATTAGAAATACTTTTAAAGATGTTTCAAGTTCAATATCCTAAGAGGTCAAATGCATAAGACAATACAATAAGAGCAATAATACAAAAAGAAAAAAACTCAGCTATCTTTAACCCTGGATGACTTCACACAAGTTAGTCAGCCTTTTGCATTTCCATTGAAAAGTCATAAACTCAATTTAAGGCACGTTAATTTATTTCTATTTGAAAGGAAATCCCTAAGTCCAATTGAGTTCACTTTGTGGTGGCTTTCAAATCAATTTTATAACTGTTGAAGTTTTCTGATTAAAAGTCTGTAAGTGTGTCTGTGCAAGTCAAGAGAAGACAGATTTGTTGAGCACAATCATGATCTCTACAGAAGCTGAATCATCAGGAGTGGGCGGTGATTATTTGAAATACTGTAGAGGAAAGCAACTCAAATGGAACTTGAAGTTTTACATTGTCAAAACAGTTATTTTGATTTATTATTGAATTATCTGAGAGGAGAACACTTAAACATATTAAGATGAAAATACAATAGAAATAATCAATAATTGTTCTTTTTGATCAGGACACTGTTGAACCCTTCCCTACAATATGTATGTCTTATGCACGTAATCTTTTTTTCCCCCTCTCAGGTGAGCAGCCTTGTGCTGTATGTGGAGGAAGCCCACAAGCTGCCAGTGAAATATTTCAACAGCCCCTACTGTAACATCTACCTGAATAGCGTCCAGGTGGCTAAGACGCACCCAAGGGAGGGGCAGAACCCTGTTTTCACTGAGGAGTTCATCTTTGAGTGAGTTTATCACATACCTAAATGTGAATGTCCTCCCTCCTCAGCCCTTCTTTCTCCTCTGTATTCTGTTCTCCTGTGATAACATTTTCTCTACCAGTACCTATTCACAAAATAAGCACATTTTATTTATCTCTTCTTTCAGTGACTTGTCGAGTGAAATCAACAGATTTGAAATCAGCCTGAGCAACAAAACAAAAAAGAGCAAAGAAAGTGACATCTGTAAGTGCATATGTACATTATGTAACAGCTCTGTACATTTCTGCATTCACCTTATGTCTCACAATACTCTTCTGTGTCCCTCCTGTCCTCTTTCTCCTCCTCCTCAGTGTTCATGCGCTGCCAGTTAAACCGTCTGGTGAAGGGCCAGATGATTGATGAGTGGTTCCCTCTCAGCTCACATGTGCCTCTGAAGGGCATCGAGCCGGGCTCCTTGCGGGTACGCGCCAGGTACTCCATGGAGAAGATCATGCCCGAAGAGGAGTACAGCGAATTCAAAGAGGTCCGTTAAGCCGAGAAAAGGGTTTCCGTTGCAAAGTCTGGTGTGAGTGGTGTTGACTAAAAATGATGGTATCATTGTTGTGTGTCCTCTGCAGATGATTTTGCAGAAAGAGTTCCATGTCATCTACGCTCTGGCCCACGTGTGCGGTCAGGACCGCACCTTGTTGGCAAGCCTCCTCCTGCGGATCTTCAGACACGAGAAGGCTGAGGCTCCTCTACTCAGGACTCTCAACGACAGAGAGATTAACATGGAGGGTAAGAAAGGAAGCAATGATAGCAAAAAATGACTTAAATGAATGTTAAAAGATGCTAAAACCTTAAATCCTTCTTAGTAACAACACCCAAGGTTTTGTATTTGTGATATTAACGTTCTCTGCCTGTGAATTCTCACCAGATGAGGCCACAACGTTGTTCAGAGCGACCACGCTGGCCAGCACACTGATGGAGCAGTACATGAAAGCCACAGCCACACCTTTCGTTCACCATGCTCTCAAAGAATCCATCCTGAAGATCATGGAGAGCAAACAGTCCTGTGAGGTAAAAGACCTTCACACAGCAGAACAAGTCACTGAACTATATCCCCCCTGCTCTTTGTACCTATGTGACGTCTGTGTTTTAATTATCTGTATTTGTTTAATTGTATTCTTTGCCTCCTCGTTCTGGCCCTCATTATATCTCAATTCAAGCTGAATCCTTCTAAACTGGAAAAGAATGAGGACGTGAACTTGAACCTGGCTCATCTCCTCAACATCCTGTCTGAGCTGGTGGAGAAGATCTTCATGGCTGCTGAGATCCTGCCCCCGTAAGAACAAGCACATATTTAAACTTCGGCACAATGCCAATGTGTCATTCTACCACAGTAATATGGTGTATCTGTTCAGGACATTGAGGTTCATCTACGGCTGTCTGCAAAAGTCTGTGCAGCAGAAATGGCCCACCAACACCACCATGCGCACGAGGGTTGTAAGGTAATCAGACACAAACTGCTTTAAGATTTCAAACGCTGTCAGCCCCTTTTCTGTCTCTTTTTTTTTTTTTTTGTTCATTGGACAGCAACTTTGATTCAGCATATTATTAACAGGTTTTTTTCTGTTTCACATCATCCGTTCCTCTTTCAGCGGCTTTGTCTTTCTAAGACTGATCTGTCCAGCAATCCTCAACCCAAGAATGTTCAACATCATAGCTGGTGAGCATTACTAATACATCTCTAATGTTTGTCCTGTTACATGTTACAATATTTGTTTTTGTTTTTTACTACCCTCTCTTCTTACAGACCCTCCATCCTCAGCAGCAGGCAGGACCCTCACACTGGTGGCTAAGTCTGTCCAGAACCTGGCCAACCTGGTTGAATTTGGTGCAAAGGTACTTGAACAACAGTCTGAAAGAACACTTTGACAGTAGCTGTACATCACATGAATTATTCATATTAGTTTGAGTACATTTTGTCGTATGTTATGGAGGAGTCATTCAACTGTTTTTATTAAAAATCTTCCTGAAGGAACCCTACATGGAGGGTGTGAACCCTTTCATCAAAAACAACAAACACAGGATGATCATGTTTCTGGATGAATTAGGGGTGAGTAATATTATTTTCCCTTTTTAATATTAATATATAATATTTGAAGTCTCCTGTTTTATTTTGTTGACCCCAACTGAATACTTCAGGAGCTTAGAAAGTTGTTTCACTGTGTTTGTAGAACGTCCCTGACCTCCCTGAAGCCACAGAGCACTTTAGGACAGATCTGTCCCGCGACCTGGCTGCGCTGCACGAGCTCTGCGGCACGCACTCAGACGAGCTCCGGACGCTGAGCAACGAGAGGGGAGCACAGCAGGTCAGAGACGCATGATGTCACAGCTGCGCACACACTCACAGGCGGAGATTTATGCTGTTTTCCTTCCATGAGATTTGAATCGACTTTGTGTTTCCCCCTCCGCAGCATGTGTTGAAAAAGCTGCTGGCCATCACAGAGCTCCTCCAGCAGAAGCAGGCTCAGTACGCCATGTCCAACAGCAACAGGTAGTACTGCACTCCTCCTCCTACTTCCATCATCCCATCATCCGTCAAGTCTCCTCCACCGGAGTGCAGCACAGGGGAGACCTAGCATGCTCTACCCTCATCACCATGGCAACCCCTCCACTGCCACCACCCTCCATTATGTCCTCCTCCGATAGTCCCGCCCATCCCCATCCACCTGCCATCTTGTCCCGTTCACCACAAGCGAGCTATGCAACAACAGCAGACGAGTGAAACAGCCGACGCAGTACTTACAAAGAAAAAAAAAAAACTTTTACCAGTGACTGACAGCTGTATTTACAGAAACAGATTTTTTTTTTTTCCCCTCACAAACTCTTCAGACTTTGGGTACATTTCATTCCCTTTGTCACGAGGGCCATATACAAAGATTTTAAGAGGTGTCTTTGTACCCGAGGTGTGTTTTGACAGCACAGGTTGCCAAAGTGTATCCCCCACTTCCTGCTCAATATGAGGAAACTGACATGGAGAAGCTAGTTCTCAGTCCTCCTTTTCTTGTAACTGGATTATGAGCAATTATGCTTTTTATACTGTAATTGACTGATTTATTTTAAGGTTGTGACAATATCCGCAAAGAGCTGAAAGGAGCATTTCTATCTATTTTGTTCTTTTGTTTTTCCTTTGTTTTCTAGATTGGAACAAAGTCTTTCAGAAAAGTATGGTTATTTTATATTAAGAATAAATTCTCTTGCTGGAATCATGAGTATATAAATGAGACAAACTGAATTTTTTTTCTCTCAGATGTATCAGCTATTTTGATTATTTGGTAAGTTCTTTTGAAACCTCTCAATGCCAGGCAAGACACATAATCAGAGAAACCAAGTAAAAAAAAAACTAAGTGTTTACAGCAGAAATCTTTTTAATAGTACAGACTGTATCGGACATGCATGCACTTATTAAACAGTTTTTTTTTTTAAAGTAGCTTAATGAGTCGTTCCTTGTCCCCCGATAAAGGTGGAGAAATGTACGCACACAGTACATCTTTGCTTGTTAACATGTCAAGACTTTTGTAATCTTTTAGAAAAGTGGATACCAAAAATGTAGAAAAATATCTTTATTCTTGCAGAACAAAGGCATCACAAGCACGTACAATCATCTGTAGAAAAGTAAATACAACATGTATACTTATGCAAACTATGACCGTGATGGTTGAATACTGGAATTAAGCAGCATAGTGACTTTAATCTTTGTGTAAATCCAAAAGTAGTAGGGTGTAAACGCTCACATCAGGTCTTCATCAGTCCATACCTGCAATTTAAAAAAGTAATCTTTAGCAAGACAAGAAAAATGTGTGGCTTCTGAAAGTTTTACTGTTGCCAGTAATCCAAAGTTAAGTCCCACCTCTTCCTCCAAACGGGCTTCTTTTGCCACATGACCATCTTCTTCATACCCTCGCTTTCGTTTGCTGTAATAGAAAATATATTTTAACAATGTGCAAAAGAGTAAACATGCACCAAAAAGAAAAAAAAAACGGACCAGTTACTTCTGCAAATATTTCATCATCAGAACTTGTGTTTGCAAGCACTGATTGTTGGTGAACTCTGTTGTCTACACACATGTAGCATCTTGTTTCCAGCACACCTTCATGGTCTCCATCAGTAGTTGTAGTTTCATCGTTCCAATGTTTGACTTCATTTGGACTAGCTCCCACCATGCATTTTTTTTTATGCATTCAAAAATGATACAAGCATGTAATTACACAAGTGACCTTTTTCCAGCATGTGCCTCTCAAACATGTCCACTTTACTTCACAGGACAGAGTGCACCATCATGTCTCTGGCTGCTGCCATCCAAGTTATGTGAGTTTTACAGGTTTCCAGCTGCGAATCGAAATGCGTGGTAAGTTTGACCACACAGCCAGCCAAAGTGAGTCCTCGACAGATGAGGCCGATGACAAAAGTCAGTTTGTATTTATAAGCATGTGGCCTAGATTTAAGGCAGTTGAAGCGCAACATGGCTGATCTCCATGGGAAACCACTTGCTGCATATTTGAATACTGACCTTCCAAAGTCCTTCCCAAAAAACGCTTCAGACACTGACAGTGATTTCGAATTTGACAAGAAGCCTCATCACACGAGACCTGAAACGATGATTCTATGAAGATGGACCTGAGATACCGTCGACTGAAGACGTATCTGACCTTCTTTGTCTTTCCTGGTATGCCTTCCTTCCCCTCAGAACTTTGACTCGTTAATGGTTGAGAAAGAACCAGACCTCCACGATCAGCCTTTTCTTGACTTGGACTTAAGACCAGGATTACAGGGAAGGCAATCCAAAGCATTGAAGTAGCCGTCATCAGGGAATTTTAAACATAGCACCTCTCTCCGAGATGACACAAGCCTTAACGCCCTTTTTACACACCTGCCGCTTGCCTGGGCCACCTGATATTATGACAAGCTCTTCCTTTCATCTTTGACTTCCACTCGTCTTTCTGTATGAATTCCACGCAGCACTGAAACCACTTGTTACCTTTTCTATATGCTGCTTTGTTTGTTGATATGCTAAACTTAGGCTTGTATAGAAGTAAAAAGGTGTTTGTGTATGAAATAGCTGAGGTGAAAGATAGAGTTTGTAGGAGATTTCTGTATCCTGTCCTGTGCATGTGTTAACCCTGAATGGATCCTGCTATTGTGTGTGGGCCTACATATATGCTGCTCTAACAACCACCACCTGGACTTCCTTTAAGCTTCAGGGTGTGAACGAATAAGCTTTTCATGCATTTGCAGTCTCTCTTGCTCCCCCTCCCCCCCCGATCACAGAGTGCCGTTTCAGCACACCTCTGCACTGTTTCCATGTAGATTCATCCTGAGAAGTCATGCCACGCACAGATTTAGTCACAGACGTAAAAAGGTTGGCTCGTGTGCCTCCTGATGACTCGAGTCAGAATCTGTGCCTGTCATCGCTCGAGAGTTTACCAAACTGTTTACTGTAGATGCACTTAAGATACTAAAAAGGACCTCACCGACCTCACCAAGTGTTAACAGACAACTGGCGACAGACAAATGAGCCTGGACGTCTCCTCATCAGCAATACCAATATATCAGCTGTGCTACACGGTATGGGTGATGTAGGTAGGAATGTGGCGTGCTGTTGTACTTCCTTTCTTGTATTTCATACAGCTGATGATGTGTTCCTTTTTATTTTTCTACCTGATTCTGAACCTTGAACCTTTTGCATCTTAGATACGAGAACCTGGCTAAAATAAAACTGTTACTATGTATGAAAACAAAGGGATGGAGTTACTTTGACTTGGGTGTGCATACACAAACCCACATCAATGTGTGCTACACATCTAAACATAAAAGGTGCTGCGACTTAAAATGATCCCATAACTACAATAGACTAGTACTGTCTTATTTTAAGAACTAGATAAAATGCATTGTATCTGCCTTTGCGTTTTAATATGACAGTCTTTATACCATAAAGAACATGTGCAGGAAACGTATCCTTACTTGCTTGGACTGATTCAGCATGAATCCTCTCCAGCTTCTGTTTGTAAACATTCACCTCCTCTGCTTTGGGTAGCTCGTATTTCGTCAGGAGGGTTTTCATCCCTGCATGAGCACACGATACAAATCTTAGTTTAGCGACTTTACCAACCTGTAGTAAAGCCAGAAACAGCTCAATAGCACCATCGTGTGGTGTCAATTTGAAGGTACAGTTTACTCACGTCTCATTGACTCGTACATCTTTGAAAGACTCTCTTTGTCCCCTTTCAGCCCCAAACACTCAGTTAGGTAGCTAGGGGTGTGGAAAAACAAATGTGTCAATGTTACACCCGATATGGTGGGAATGAGGCAGAATATTTCCCTTCAATTATATAACATAAATAAATTAATCAAGGTCACTCAACCAGAACCATATTTGTCAAATATGTCCAAAACGACCTTTAACAAGACTTAAAAGCACAAATATAAAATAAATTGTATTTAATCAAAGATAAAAATAAAAAAAGAAATGAGTGAATTGACACTTTGGTTTAGTGTATTTTCCAGGATATAAAGGTAAACACACTTAACATATTACATACGCCAAATGTGTGTAATTTACATTTCATTCAAAGTTTGTGTTTGTATGTGCCTGTTAGCAATGACAAATAGTCAAGATGTAGAAAGAAACATATGTTAGCATGAGATTACATCGCTCTTCATTGTTTTTATATATTACTCCTAAATCCCTGCTTTGACATTAAACCTCATCAATGGTCCTTGCGTCAACTCAAACATGCCCGATGACTAACCTCTCCATGCTGAGACCGGCTCTTGATGAACTGTTCAGAATAGCTGTTAGAGCGATCTGAGAGGGCGGAAACAGCAGACCGGCATCTGTCATGGTTGCCTGTGTTAGAAAGTCATCAGCACTCTTCCTGAGTGACTCTGGGTTCTCTAGCGTGGGGTATCTTGTCTGGGGGGGGGGGTGACATTATTGAAGAGATAACATTCAGTTGGACTGATAATCCTGACAACAGAAAGAACTAGACGAGCACTAGGTGACAATTTAAGGGTGCAAGAGCTACTTTTAAGAATAATCCCGTACCTTGATGTCGATGAGCAGGCCTTCCATGGGTCTGTAGGGGGTGTGGACCACCAGGTGAAAGTTGAGCTGTTGGATCAGCGGCAGCTCATACTCCAGGATCTGCTCAAGAACCCTTTCCTGGCCTGCTGGGGTCTCCTGCAGAAGGTTGCCCACAAACTGGGTGCTGGAAACGTTGAACTCCTCCACTTTACAGGACAGGTATGCACAGATCAGCCTGGAACACGAAGGTGAGTTCAAAACCAGGCGTACCATCCCCCCCCCCTCCCGGCATTTTGGGCAATTCATGCAAATCTTTAAATGATACAGGTCACATTTGTGTGTTATTTCTACACACTACAGCTCATAAATTATGCTTAAAGTTTACTTTTACCCCCCAAAAAACCCCATTTAATTCAACATCAAGTTAAGCCGGGATTGAGAGGGCGGCACGACTTCAATAAAAGTTTTCAACGTTGACTCAAGTCCAAAATAAGCTCCATTATTGTCCCTCCCTATCACTGTTTTATAATATTGTGTATTTCTACCATTCAAGTTGACTTTGACCAATGCTACTCACATGATAATCCTTGGGTGGTACTCCATAATAGAGTTGTTCAGATAGAATCTCCTGAAGTACGTGATGGCTGTACCCTGCACAGGTGAGACACACACGGGTCAGACAACTTCAGGCTTTAGGCAAACATCGAGTCACACACACACACACACACACAGGGTGAAACAGAAGACACACACATACACACATACATACCACAACAGATTTCGGCATTACAGGCTTGAAGGCGTTGCAGAAGTCCAGCAGCCTCCTCTCATAGTGTTTGAACAAAACGTCCTCCTCATGACGCTCCAGGAAGCTGGACGCACTCGCGCCGGTCTGTTTCACAAAGAGCAGGTGAAGAAGGTGAAGCAGGTGAAGAAGGTGAAGCAGGTGGAGCAGGTGAAGAAGGTGAAACAGGGGTCTCTTGTCCTTCTTTGGTATCGTTCATATTTAACTATCGGTACTCACCTTTCCACTTTCGCGTATCTTGTTACGGAATTTCTGATTGGCCTTTTGTCTCAATTGCTCCAGTTCATCTTCACTTTTAAAAATCCAGTATTTTCTCTGTGAACTGATGTGAAACATGGCTGCTTCTGGAAGATAAAGAAGCGGTCAAAAAAAATGGACTAAAAGACAATAAAATAACATTTAGCAGCAGTGTGACATTTACTTACTTTGTGTCTACAAACACGCTAGTCCATTTATTCCGGATAAGAAACCTGGTGTTTTGGGGGCAGTATGTAGCTTTAGCGTCGTAAAACACAGCTTCAAAAGCTTTACTGTGATACTTTCTGAGCTACTGGCTAAAAATCCTGAAACCAATAATAAAACTGACGCCTGTCGCCAATCCTGTGCGTCACGTTGTCCCTCTTTGATGACGCCGTACTACCGTAATTTAGAACCAAGGGCGCAATTGAACTCTCTCTCTCTCTCTCTCTCTCTCTCTCTCTCTCTCTCTCTCTCTCTCTCTCTCTCTCTCAATTTCAATTAAGAAAGCTTTATTGAATGTTACATAAACAATATTGCCAAAGCAGCAACACAATACAAAACAGTATCAACAGTAATCAATGATGAAGCATGATTCAAAAATAAAAAATACACAATTTCATACAACAACAAATAAACAGAAAAAACGGTGTGTGTGTGTGTGTGTGTGTGTGTGTTCAGAAAAATAAAATGAGTAATACAGCAACAATTATGAACTTTCTATGTATAGTTATACTAAATATTCAAATATTAAACAAACATGAATAAAGCAGTGTGTGCTGTTAGGTGACTAGATACACCTGTCAGGTGTTGTCATGGTCGTCCCTCAGGCTGTGACACAATTGACATATTTCTCTGCCTCGCTGCTAACTCTGTGTTCTTCCAGTATGTGCTGTGTTATATGTTGGTCTGAGAGCGACTCAAAGTCTGGGACTTGATGTCTAATCTTGTTGAAGAACTCTTCTCTTATGTGTTCATATTTGCTGCAGTGCAGCAGGAAGTGAGTCTCTGTCTCCACCTGTCCATTTGGACAGAGCTGACCTCTCTGGGCAGCCAGGTCTACCTGTCTCTCTGTCCAGGCTGTGATCACTCAGTCTGTACAGTCTGTATGGTTAATGTCTGTCTCACTTTCTCATCAGTCACTGTGCTTCGATAATTGGCTGCAGTGTATTGTCTGTTTGGAGCCAGATAACACTGAAGTTTGCTTTGACGTTTTGTTGTGCATGTCCAATAGTTCATACCTTTATGTCTCTCTCTCTATAATCTGATTGGACCAGATGTTGTGAGTCCTGAGGCCTGGTGCTGTTACACTGTGTGAGCCTCAGGATCAGCTGGCTGAGGGGACTCTTCTCCATGCACAGCTTTGTAATGGCAGGAGCTGAGCTTACTGCTTTTTAAGTGTTTATAAAATGTAATTGAATTAAATCTCTCTCTTTCTCTCTCTCTCTCTCTCTCTCTCTCTCTCTCTCTCTTTCTGTCACACACACACTAACTTTCATGTTTTCTTCAGTCAGTTTAGTCATATAACTTTCATATAGCTTTAAGTTTATTAGTGTATATGTTGCTACAAATAGATTAGATAGCCTATTGTCAAATTTCTATCAGGCTATTGAACGTCACACGATTGTATAACTTATTGGCTATTTAATAAAAGCAAATAGACTTTTCTGCTCCATCATTATTAAATCCTATAGCCTGATAATTTTAAACACATGTAGGCATAAAAAATAACATAACATAAGTCATTCAAGATACACCGATTATTCTACCCAGAGGAGAACCTCTTTGTAGACTAATGTGTGACTCATGTTAAGAAACATGTTTGTTGACAAACAAGTAGGCTATAAAAAAAAGATAGGCTCGATAAAAAAAAAAAATTGTATTTATGTTTTTGCCTATACCTTTGAAGGCATAGCCTATTTAAATAATGGACCCTTTTAAATGTTCTCTCTTATATGATTTGCAATGTCCCACTGATCCACTGTCTTTGATTTCCCTCAGCTCAGTGACTACCTGAAGGAAACTTCAGAATGACTGAGCCGCTTTATGAAAATGTTCTTTAAATTCCTGGATTTGGATCTTTATAGATGGAAGAGCAGAACAGAAACTGAATCACAACAGAAATTGAATCACAGTGTGTTTGGATGGAGCCACCCCCACCAGCGTTTCCGTATACCGTAATTTGCATAAACATGAGTAATTTATGAATAATAAATGACCGTGCATTCAGCAGGAGCCGTTAATTTGCATATCACCGCAGCTAGTTTTATTTCCTTAGTGCCGTGTTATCATGAAGCCCTTCAAGCCGGCATAAACCAGAACCAAAGAAATAATGCTTTAACAGGTATGTGCTGAGGACTATTTTATTATCTTAATCTTCTTCTGTAGCCTACGTGGGGGGGGGGGGGGGGGACATTTTAACTTTGATGTGTGAGCTGAGTGTGTGATAAGCTTGTAAAAACGCTGTACGTTCAATGTGCGCCGGGCTTACATCTACAGTATCCATCGCTCGGTTTTGCCATGTAGCTTATATTGCATAAACATGAAGTGCCGATGCATTATTGATGAGACCAGTGCAACGTTTACTGTATGTGCGCGCGCCGATAGGGCGTGTAACGCTCGCGTGCGTGCGTGAGCGACTGTGTGCATCATGTAGACTGTTGTGTCAGTCCTACCAAACACCTTTCCGTCTGCTGTTAGTCATAAACCCCGTAGTGCTGTGTGGACGAACTATTTTTGTCCTAATATATTCTTTTCGAATACCTGAAGAATAGTGTTATTGACATTCGTGTTGAATTTCCTATAACATCCTGACAGTAATGAGGCTTCTATAATAACAGAGAGAGTGCATGGATGCTATTGAGCTGAGGCAGCAAGTGAAACTCTTGTGTGTTTTTGAGAGGTGGTTGGGAGTAGAGAGACACTTTTTTTGTGTGTGTGTTATTCCTATGTGTCTGTGAGACAAAATGATGCACCTATGTGAACTGACAGGCAGTGTTTTATGGGAAATCAGACTTATGTGATTTTGTGCCTTCTACAGATCATCTGAATGATCTCTGAGCCGCCCTGATCAAGTTATTTTCATCCAGTCAGAGTTCAATCTGCTCTCCATCCTGTTATATTTCAGCTGCATATGAAAACCTGAAATGATTACAATTCATGGACCCAAAGTCAGCCGCTGACCGACAGTTTGGTGTCGTGTGAAGCATCACCTTGTCTGTGCTATTTGTACGGTGTAAACTATTCATGTTGCTGATAATACTGTGGAGGAGGAGGAGGAGGAGGAGGAGAAAAATCTAGAGGAGGATGAGGAGGATTATCCCCACCCTTATGAAGCTACTTTCTTGTATGAAAGGAAATCATTTGGAAATAACCTTGACAACGATGCAAATGATTTCTCTGACCAATGAACTTGCTTAATCTTTTTTTTTTTTTTGCCTTCTTTGATGCTCCTCGTTTTGCTATAGCGTTGAATCCCATTAAAGCTTCACACACCAACAGATACAATTAAATCCTCATTCAAACACCCTATATGTGTGCATATTAATTATTTTACCCTCCATCATGCACAAACACCCCCCCCCATCCCCATCTTCACCAGGGTTGCCATGACAACCAGTGGTGGCAGTGCTGATGTCAGAGTCTTGTCCAAGGACACTCATGCAGGCACTGGGTCAGGTGATAATATGCACTGCTGCTGGGCATGGACCAACACCCAAGAACAAAATGGCCGCTGTTTCCCTCTCTATTCATGCCACATTGGGAGATTCTCTCTACCGAGCCTCAAACAAAAAGAAAAGTGCACCTGCATGTGCTCGTTTCTGATGACATGTGTGATACGGATGATGTGGGATATTCTCAGCGTGATTGGTTTGAGCGAAAGACATCACAGAGCTGAGCCGCCGTCTGAGCCCCCTCAGAGATCAGAATTTAGAAATCTTGCCCGGTAATTTAAGTGCACCCACCTCTATGTGTATGTGTCTTTGTGTTTGAATGTGTCCATCGGTTTCCTCAGGTTGGCATTAGGGCTCTTTTCTTCTCCTCTCCCCCCCCTCCCCCCCACATCCCCCAGACACTCAAAGTCCCCCCACCATCTCTCTCCCTCTCTCTCTGTGTGGCTCTAATTGAGCTTTGTGTCTACCTCAATCTCCATTTAAATCCAGGCTTATTTGCATATTGCCGCCGTGCGCTGGACAGCTCCCCAGCTGTACAGTACAGCACTAAATGAGGAACACAGACCCACTTTACGTGATGTGAATACTAAGCAGTAAGGAGAGTCAATTTTTCCCCCTGTTTCCTGAAAATGCAGCTACCTGAGAGGAAGAGGGATGTTTGCATCAAATCAGTGCATTCAGACAAATACAAGCATTACCTGTCTGAAAGGAGAAGCTGAGTTTATTTATTTTTTTGTTAAAGCAAGACATTGGAGCAGGCATCACATGCAATGATATGACAGAGAAAAGGCAGAGAAGCTGTGATATGCATAAGATGTGAGTAATAGGCAGGCATAGGTTTCGATGCGTGTTAGTTTTCAGCTTTTCAGCATTCTGCAGGTAAATTAAGGATGTACCATTTTTTTGTAGTACCAGCCCTGCTTTGTATTTTCTCCCTCAATGCTCAAATTTTGCTTACTTTAATTTGAAACCAGCTGCCCTTTGGCTTTTTTCTTGCCTCGTTCCCAGTCAGGCCTGATTTAACCCTTCACCAGAGAGAGAGCGAGACTCCCTCAGCATCAATACATTTTAGGGACTTCTTGCTCCTGAGTGTGCGTAGACACATGATTATGTTGTATTTCTGATGCACTCCAACCACACTTAACAGAACGTGTTAAGCACATCCTTAATGGGAACCTTAAAAACCCCAAGGCCAATTTTCATTTTTCGAGCATATTGGTTGGGATTTGTGACATTTCAACTCATTTCAGGATTCAATCAAAGCCGTAGCTCCAGGGAGAGCAGAAAATGGCACGCTCTTTCCTGCAAATCCAACTGTCCTTGGTTTGCTATATATGCATACAACTTCTGCCTCCACAGTGAAACTAGTGAGAACTGAGTGAAATTTAATAACCCATTTAAGTTTACCTTGAAGACAAATACAAAGAGTGCAGAAATGTTTTCTGTTTTCCTAACTCGGATGGAAATGTTTTATTTAAAAAAACAAAGTGAGTCCTGCTCATTTGTAAAGCGTTTCCAAATCAATGGGAAGTGAAAAACACACATTGCGCCCCATCATTGTGAGCAAGGTAGCTGTGAATGAGATGTAGAGGGAGAGATGTTAAAGTGCAGCTGAAAATCCAATCCTTCACAGCACCGGGCTCCAATAAGTCCCACAAATGACCCTTTACATCAACGTGTATGTCCTCACCTTTGCAAATAACCGGCCATTTGGGGGAATGGGAGAAGGAGTAGTGTCCCGCTACTCTGATATACGGCCTGACTGTCGGCTCTGTTCCTCTTTTTCCTTTCCTGAAGACCAGGAGTGCTTAATACTGAGTTGTGTAATGCTTGGGCAGCTGTTTTTCCTTAAAAAATGTTGAAATTGTTTCTATAATATTTTTAAATCCTAAAAAAAAAATTAGAAACCTCGATAAATTTTCTCTTATTTAAAACAAGCAATTTAACACTATAATGAAACAGTTTAGTTAAAACTGTTGTTTTTGAAATGAAAGCATTCGTAAAAAGAAAAATGTATGAATTACAATGAAGATAGACACCAAACAACAACAAAAATACTATTTTTGCCCTGCTAGATTTGTTTTTTGGCAAACTCATGTCAAAGCTAATGTGTGTGTGCGTGTGTGTGTGTGTGTGAGTGTGCATCTTTATATTATTGTGAATTTGCTTGCAGTGTTCTTTTTCTTGCATCTTAATCTAATTAAGAAGAGGATGCCTGAATATAGACGAAGAATTATGAGCTTGCAAACGGGGGAGGGGAACCCTGTTTGATCAAGCCAGGTTGCCCAGCAACCTAAGCCATTTATTTCAGACAAAAAAAAAGCCCTCTAAGATTTAATAATCAGGTTGTCTGCATTAAAATGCAAAGCAGGCTGTCAGGCTGCACCTGAAGGACAGCAAAAATTAGGCAGGCTAATTTCTCTCCTTACAGGTGAATAGCTGACCTTCTGCAGAGAGTGCCTGTCAAAATCAGCACTCAAGCACCACAATTCAGCTGAAATAAGCTTTTAAAAGCAGCTTGTAAAAAAAACGGCAGGGAATAAAAATCCAAGCAGCATGTGCACACTGTTTTTACCTCATTTGAATTTTGTTAATTGAGCAAGCTCAAGTGATTCTAAACGCAGTCATTATGAATGTAACGCGATGTTCACATTAAATTTTCTGCTCAGACAAGTTCCCAGTTTGTTTCCTCGTTAATTTCAGGAAATGAAAAGAAATATCATGACAAACAGAAATGATAACGCCACAATATGTCTTCCCAGAATTTATTTTTCAAAAATAACAATTTTGATACGCCCCAAAATGTCACATTTCAAAGAAAACATTTCATTCTTATTTTTCAACATATATTCACAGAGCTATGTATAAAAACATATTTTACAAATATTGACCACGAGAAGTCATTTGTTTCTGATGCTCTGTAATTGATAGCGTAAAAGCTGGGTGTCAGCTCCTGCTAATTATCACAGGCATCCTCTTCGCTTTTGTTTTCCTAATTGCCGCCGTCCTTTTAGTCGGAGATATTTCTCCTGAGTGCAGCAGGCCCTGCTGGAGAGCACTGCAGGCTTCCTGTGGACTTCCTGTGGACTTCAACAAAAAGCCCTGTCAGGTGGATCAGCCATTAGTCACCAATCTACATTGTCTCTGACAAATCTGACGTTTAAATTACATGCATAATTCCAAAGCACCCTCTGTGAGCAGCAAATTGCAGACATTTTTTTTCCTGGAAATGTCACACAGGCTGAGCTAAACTTCTTGCAGAAAACATGTTGATACTAAATGTTGATCTGAACCTTTGCTCAGTGAATAATTTTTCATACTACGTGAGACGATAAAAAAATGTCTAACTAAAGGAATTTAATTCTAAAGAAATATTATGATATGGTATGATTTGAATGATTTTTTTCCATTCTTTTTTGTCCAAATGAGAACCAATAATTCTAATTCTGAAGTCACATCAGTCCCAATTTTCAAGTTTTTATATTTCTTTCACAATTTTTTCCAAATGTTTTAGAATTTTCAATATTCCTTTAAAACTATAGAAACAATAACAATCATTAAGCAAATGATTCGTCTGCCGTTGGAAAACAATCCTATCGTTGGCTTTTTTAGTCCTTACAGATGAATACATTGACCCTTCCTTCAGAATAATCTGTGCTATATATATATA